GTGGAACAGTATTGGGGATGGTCTTTATCTGACATAAGCAATCAATGTAACCTGGTTCTTTGTACCCTCAATGAATCCCCAACAATAAAAAAAAAGAAAGAAATACAGATGGGGTGTAATGTACATTCTAATGATATAAACACCTGAACGTTGAATATTGGCATCCCTGATGTGAGCCTGCAGGCTCTGCTCCCACCCACTCAGCTGCTTTCCCGGCCCTCCCTGTTCACTGCACTCACAAATCCCTATTTATTTCTCACACAGCAATCAGGCTATTTATTTTATTGCCAGATCTTTTACCAGTCTATCACCTGTTTGGGGGATTATCAAGATCTTTTTCTAAATCCAGGCAATTTCTTCCCTAAGAAGAATTCTTTTATCTGTTAATGAGATTTTTTGTTTCTCCACTACAGAATATTAGTCAAGTACTCTGAAAAAATATAAAAAGGAGCCAGTTGTGTTGAGAAGACTGATGTGAGGAGGCAACATTTAGGTGGGTTTTAAAAGATCAGCAAGTTTCTTCAGGCTCATGCCAAAAATGAGACACAGGTGTTCTTTTTAAAATTTTATTTTACAAAGGGTGTTCAGAGTGGAGGAGATCTCAGAAGAAAGGGCAGAGTCATGTCAGAAGAGAAGGCAGGGATCAGGAGTCTTAAGTGATATTCCAGGTATCTGCCAAGCGACCTTCCAGGTCAGATGGAAAAGGTGCCTGCGGTGAGAGACTTGGAAGGAGAGCACGGAAATTAGGCATTATTATGGATCCCAAAAGTTTTTGCTCTTCATGACATGAATGATCTTTGTTTCAAGAAACCATCTCTAGGAACGTGTACCAATAACACATATTAAGAACTCAGTATGTGATAAGCAAGCTGCTAAGAATCGGGGATACAAAATAAGTAAATATTCAAAATGCTGGCATGCTGGGAAGAAGATAGGGCCCACCTTCTAGCCAGGGTACCGAGACAGGCACAGCCACCGACCGTATGCACAGGCACAACGACCATATGCACAGGCACGTCAAGATGTTGATCTCTTCGGTCTTTGAGACAACTAGGAGAAAACTGGGGTGGGGAGAATATTTTCTTAATAAGCTTTATTTCTCACTTTCCAGGAAGGGAATCTCAAGCATTTTCCACTTTTCTCAGGTCTCCAGACCCACTATCCTCTCTCACCCTCAGCAGATGACCTCAGTTCCTAATTCAAAGATACGAAAGAATCCAGCAGGTTTACACTCCAGTCTACTTACCGCCATCTGAATTGAAACCCACGTGTGTCCGCGTCTACCCTTCACTTCTCTTGTGTTGAATGAAGGATGAGGCATCCCTCCTCCTTTACCTGCAGCCCACTTCTTCTCTCCACCAGTGCACTGTCCTAAGTATCCCCACACTTCTGTATCTTGCCTTTTCCTTGCTAATCAGATCTCTGCCTTCTGGTTGTCTTCTTGCCAATTTGGCTACATCTTTCCATTTCTTCTTCAGTCTCCTAATCCCTGGACTATTTCTTAAATACTGAGCTCCTCACCTTTCCAAACAAGAGTGCCTTTTCTCCTTATTCCCTATGCTCCTCTTTCATCAGCTTTTCAGTACTCACGTCTTCAGCTGTCACCTAGGACTCTCCACTTTATGTCACTGGTACAATTCTCTCTCTAGAGCTCTACTCACATTTGAGCACACGCCTCCACTTGGACATTCTACTTCCATGTAACTCAATGTGTCCAAAACAGAACTAAAGGCTTTTGCCTGGGCCCCTACCTCTCTTCCTATCTTTATAACGGTGCGATCATTCGGGCTGGTACACACACTACCTGAGTGTCTTTTTCACTCCTCTTTGCCCTCAATTCTCATATTCAATCAGTCACTAAACACGAAATTTTATGGACTTTACCTTCCAGTGTGTCCTGCACACCTGTCTGCGTCTCATCATTTCACTGCCTGTTCCCCAGTTCACGCCAAAATTACATGGGTTGCTGCAATAGTCTTCCATCATCCATCCTTATTCCTTTTAATATATTCTCTACATAGTAGTCCTGTATATAACTCTTACTATGGATCTTATTTGATATACTCTCTCTGAATAACTTTTTTTCAGTGACATCTTTCTGTGGCCTTCATACCCGTGCTTCCCCAAAGCACCCTATCCTCCTCTGTCATAGCACCTATCACCCAGCTTTATAACCACTTTATTCAACACTAAATTGATGTCCAAATGGAAATTAATCACCTTTCCCATTACATTAGAACTCTAATGCAGTGCAGATGATCAATAAGTATTTATGGAATGGATAGTTCAATTAAAAAATCCTATATAGCTCTACTTTCTTAAAACAGGTGTCCTCAAACTACAGCCTGCAGGCCACATGCAGCCTGCCTAGAACATTTATCCAGCCCACCGGGTGTTTTTGCTGCTGCTGCCTGTCCTGCTTAGCAGCTGACCCATCCCCGGGCCTGCAGTCTGGCCCTCCAATGGTCTGAGGCACAGTGAACTGGCCGCCTGTTTAAAAAGTTTGAGGACCCCTGCTCTAAAACAATTCTCTCACCCTAAGGAAATCTAGAACAGGTCTAATCCCCCAAAGAAGTTTAAACTCTTTCATTTTAAAACATCTTCCCCATTGGTATCTCAACTCAAAGTATTTTCTATAAAAAGATACAGTTAATCTCCCAGGTATCACTGTTCAAATCAAGGCAAGATCTAAATTCCGTCTTCATTTCATTTGTGCCTCTGTCATCCCTCAGAAGTTTGTCCCCTCTCTCTCTCTTCTTTCTTTTTTTTTCCTGCTTCTGGTTTTTGTATTTTTTAATTTTTACTTTCATAAAAATTAAATTTATGCACAGCTTACGGCGTCAAATAGTTTTACAAAACTTATGATGGAAAACAGCAATTCTCCAGCCTCCCAACCTTTTTGCCACTCTCCAGAGCAGCCAGGTGCCGATGTTGAGCTTTCTAAGGAATCCCCTTGACCTGCTACTTCTGACATTTTGTTTTTGACCCACACCTCTTGACTCCTCGCTTTGGAAGAGGGGAATTAACTCTTTCACACATGCACACCTCACATGGCACACACGTACACGTCCTCTCCACTCCGCCCCGTTCAGAGTTTACAGAGACTCTCCCCACTGCTGACTCAGCCAGTAGGTCCAGAGAACTTTGGCTTCCCTGTATGTTTTTGCTTCCTTGGAGTTAATAATCCTCTTTCTCTAAAAATGTTTTGGTTGTCTCTATACCCACCATTAATTCAACCCCAAACTTTTCACCAGTTGTCTAAAGCCCCTCTCTATATACCTTGCTGTATGAATTTTATCTACTTGAAGAAACTGATTATGGATTTTTCCTACCTGCTTTGTTCTAGATGAATTGCAGTCTGTTCTCAGTACAGAACTTTGGTCCTAGAATCCCTTCTTCTATCACCAGGGTGATTCCCAGTTTGGACACAGACACAGAGAGGGGAAAGGTCACGTGAGCATGGAGATGGTCATCTGCAAGCCAACAGGGGGGGCCTCACAAGGAACAGCCCTACTGAGATGACCTCAGACTTCTAGTGTCCAGATCTATGAGAAATAAGTTTCTGTCTCTTCGGCCACCCACTGTGTGGTACTTTGTTAAGGCAGCTCTGGCAAACTAATACCGTCAGCTTTCTAGGAGATTTTCTCAATTTTATCTTCAGTCTTAAGAAAACCTTACATTTTTCTCATACTTGCTATCTCATTTTTTATCTTAAGTGTCTTTGGTTTTTGTGTTCTCTGAATGTTGCATTTGTAATAGCATCTTGCTCCTGCTTCAAGGATACAATATCTTTTTCTACCTCACCCAGGATGTTAATGGTGGTGCTTCTCTCTGGGTTTTGGCAGGTCTGCACAGCTCTGCTCCCCCCGGTTCTCTGCTGTGTGTATGGGTGTTTGTTTAGCTCTTTACCTTTCATGGGAAAGGTTTTCCTCGGGCATCTCACTGCTCACATTTAAGAGCAAGGCTATAAGAAACCTGATGTGAAGGTCTGAGCACAGGTGGGGATTGTTGGCTGTGGTCTCCTGCCCTTTGATGTTTCACCGCAGGCTTGAAAACTAGAAACCCGTGGGCTGTGTCTGAAACAAATGTGTCTGTTTCATTTTGTTTTTTTAATTAGAGTTGCACATCTTTACCTGGGTATGTTCCCTTTAACTACCCTTGAACCCCACCAATCCTTTCTGATTTAAGCTACTTTTAAGTTTGAAATTTCTACCTCACATTTCTTTCTGCCAGTCAAAATCTTCCTTGTCCTTTTACACACGCTCGGCTGTTTCTTCCTCTCTGGCCCCATGTGTGATGGTCTCAGGCAGCATCAGCTCAGCTTCCTCTATGTCCCACTGAGTCTCATATCTCCAGTAGAGCCCAGGGCACAGCCCCCATTTCCATGGTAGATATTTGATATGCATGTGGGATGCACAGGGCACAGCCCCTGTGCACAGCCCCTTTTCCGTGGTAGATATTTGATGTGCATGTGGGATCTCCATGAGACTGCACGCCCGCCTCCCGTGGAGACAGGGCTCAGATGCAGGCATGTTATTATCTCACATAGGAACTTTGGTGACTGCTCAAGAAAAGGTTTCTTGGAAATGTTTGTGCTCAATGGGGCAAGGGTTGAGGGAAAGAAGAGAGGACAGGGGAGCTCATTTGATCTTCCTGGAACTCAAATACTTGAGTGATCTATTATTAAAATCATACACTGTAATTTTCCCCTCAAAGTAAGTAAGATGCTATTGCCAGATCACAATGTGGCTTTAATATACTTTCAGATGATTACACAGAACATAATCTGTTTCACATGATGGAGTATTTCTCAAGCCGGCACAACAGAAAGAAGAAAAAACAAAAACCACAATGTATCTCAATGAAAGTGAAAATACGTCTGCATTTAAAGAGGTACTTTATCCTCATTTGTAATCATCTGCTCCTCCAGATCTCAAATAAAGCATAAATCTTGGCACATCTGCCCAGGTGCCATCAACAATAAATCATAATTTCTGGTATATATTTTGAAGGCAGTTTATAGGTATCTGAGTCCTTCGTGTTTCTGTAGCTGTTGCTTTACCATAGCCTTGGTTGTCAAGTATCTTTGATGTCCCCAAGAAGAACGGCTTTGTGCCAGGCATGACATCCACTTTCAAGTAAAGATCCAGGAACATAGGCTGCGTTCTTGCCCCTGTGGTCCCACATCCACAACTGCACTGCTCTTTTGCCGTTTTAGTCAGCTACTCATGCTGGTCCAATTAAACAAGATGAGCTAACTCTGTGTTCCTTTTAATCTTTCCCTCCTGGGATGGTTTGTACATTGTGGGCTTTTAGGTATTGACAGAGCCCTGGGAGTTCCCAAATATACATTCATTCATGTGAACAGTAAACAAAGCATGTTTGGATTCCCACAAATTTATGACTCTGGAAAGACCTTGAAGAACCAGATGGATTTTAAGAATTGTGTCTCCAAGTTCTACTCTTAACTGGATATGCGAGTTAAAAGTAGTGCAGACGGCCTGGGCTCCCATCTAGGCCCTGTTGCATATCAGCTGAGTGGCCTTAGGCATTATTTCACTTCTGTAAACCCCAGTCCCCATCTGTGAAATGGGCAAAACAACTGCATCTACTGCAGAAGACTTTTGAAAAGATAAAGCAAGGTGATGCGCCTGGCAGACACTCTGTAAATAGGAATCACTGTACTTTTTTATTAACAAAAGCAACAAACTGAAACCCGGTCTCATAGAAATTAAACGAAAGAACAATTGTCCATAGCTGTAGAAACTGGTTAGACCTCTAGATCTGCCAAGCACAAAGCTGAAATAAACCGGTCGATTAAACAGAAATAGTCAGAATTTTAAGCATAAATAAATTTTAATGTAACATTCAAGAACAAGAATTATAAAGTAATCAGAAGCACATGAATCCCCACTTTTTATTATTATGATAAACAACTTCAGACGTAACATCATAAATTGCCAGGTCAAAACGTGCTTTTCAAGAGGCTTTTCTTTAATTAGGAACCAGGATTTGGGGGCCCCTGTGCAGACGCGAGCCTGTGCACACTGAAGAAGCCCTAACCAAACATGGCAAAGGCCGCAGGGACCCAAACGGAATGAAACAATGAACCTTTGCCCACGAGAAAATTAGCTTAACTATTTTTCCTTTCCTTTCTGGGCCAAAAAACCAAAAGCAATATTTTTGAGATGGGAGTACCTTATGAAATGTTCCTTGCTTTCCCGTATTCATTTTGGGAGGCCAAAGTCAGTGCTAGGTGGGCATGTACAGTACACGGTCATTGTTAGTGTTGTTTCCCCTAAATATTCAGATAAATTGGTTGATTTCAAATTAATCTAAATTAGTCTTTCCCACAGAACACTGTTGCCAGAATGTTAATAAATATGCCCGGAGGAAGTGTAACAGCACAAGGAAATTGAAAACAGAGGTGTTCATTACACATCCTTATCCGCCGGTCCAATGCACATGAGCACATACAAAAAGTCGAAGATGCCCGGGAGTGAAGAGATCTATTTTGTTTTCCTTACTCCAGGTTTTCCCCAAAGGTATTTGGATCTGGAATCTGTTTTTTCCAACATGCCTTTCAGCTTCTTACAGCGCACAGTTGGCAGAATTCCAATCTGGGGATACAGCATTTACGTTTGGGCAGGGCCCATCCTGCAATTCATTAAAAAGCTATCAGCCTGGCAATTGTCAAAATTCTACACATTCACAATAATAATCCTAACAGGTGCCACTTACTGACCACTCAGTAAATACCAGGAGTGCTTCTTCCTTGCTTCTCACCTTCCTGTCCTTGATGACCTCAGTCCTCTTGGTCTCTTGCTCCACGGCTGACACCTCCCCTGGGGAGAGGGCTTTTATTGGCTGGCAGCCTTTGGCCAGTGTTTCTCAATGAGGCGGATGTAATGTCTCCAAAACGGAAGCAACGAAAGACACTAAGCCCCTTCTCTTTCCTTTTCATCTGGACCAGGGACAGTTAGTAACCTGGGTTAAGTCTCTGTCCCTCCAAAGCAAAATTTCCTTCAGGTAAGATGTTCCAAGGCTGGGAATGGAAATAAGGCAGTTAGCAAGCCCCTTTTGTTGGCCGAATAAAATTGTGCCTTGCAACCTGACCCTTATCGATAACTGATATTTTAGCTCTCCATGGAATGATTCTATTATATTTCGACTAGCTTGGAACTTTGGCAGGGAAAATAGGTGTTATTTGGGGTGCCCCTCAAAAACTCAACAGCAGGTATCGTTAATTCTGGGTGATGTTTTACCTGCGTCATTTCATTAGATCTTCACAAAAAATTTAAAGGTAGACGCTGATATATCCCCATTTTAAAAATGAAAAAAATTGAAAAGAAGAAAGGTTACGTAACTTACCAGAGGTAGTGACTGTGTTGTCATTAATGAACGCAAATTAATTCTACTATTACTGTAACCAGTGCATCTCACCAGACGGTGCTTGTGTTTGCACGTCTCTGCTATTTACCTCCCAATTCCTCATCTGTTGCATTAGTTAATCTCTATATTAAGACCAACCTCCCTTATATGGAGTGATGAACGTAAAAACATAACCTTGGCCCATGACTAAGCTATTCTGATAAGGTTTACATCAGAAATTGCAAGAGAACTAGCCCATACAGATGTTTTCTTCAGCTCCCTAAGTGTTAAGAATTTGCATTAGGTATTAAAATTAGATATAAATGCCTGGCTTCTCTTGAACAATGTGAAGATCTGAGAAGCAATCAGCTGAAGCTGGGGAGAAGTCATCCACTCAGAGGAGTCACATTCCCCACAGTCACCTTGGGCCCCGCTGGGTCACTTTATTAAAGTACTTTACCTCCGTGTGCTGCTCTAAACATTTAAATTTACAACCCTAGTGTCATCTAGGTAACCACCCACCCCACCCCCGGCACATTCACCCCTGTGGAACATCACTGCCATTGCAAGAATCTGGAATGCAAGATGTCAACATTTAGGAACAGGACATGTCTTGATGTGACACACGGGGCTGGGAGTGGCCACTCTTCAGAAGTGACATCATTCAGTGAGGGTGCCCACTTCAGTCCCTCCAACAAAAATGTTCAAGTCTCACACTGGAGATGTCAGGGAGTGAGGAGAGCAGCCAGACTGACAGGCCTGTGTCCAGCATGGGCTCAGCTCAGTCTCTCTGCTTGACTACAGGACATCTGTGTAAATATTCTTGAATTAGGGGCTTTCTTGGGGCTAAGAACATAATATCATTGCACCTGAGCCTTGTATAGTCCCAGCCCCAGCAGTGACCTCTCTTCCTAGATCAGTGCTTTTTAGGTAGCAGTTGATCAGAAAAAGTTTGTTAAGCAAATAAATAAATAGGTAGACTATGTCAATTCTAGGGGCAGAGGACTGTCCTTCCTTTAAGAAAGGTACATCAGATTTTTGGGGGGGGTGGTAATTTTTTGGTTTTCTTTATAGAAAATAACATTTTTATTTTATAAATTGAGAGTTTAAGTGAAACTTAATCTTCAGTGGAATATTTATTTTCTTATAAAACACTTCTAATTTTAAAAAAAAACCTTAAAAAAACCACTTGGGGAGACATCATCAGATGTCAGCCGGTCCAAGGCATACAGCATCTCAGAGATTCACTCACAAATTTACCCGCCCAACACAAATGACCAAAACAATCAGAAACAGCTCAAAATGTGAAACTCCTGTAGAAACTGTTACTCCAGACGGTAACAGTGTGTAAAGTTCTCTGCTTCATGACAGTACCTTATTAATCATTTCCAAAGTTCCTGGTACTTTTTATGCTTCTATCAGTTTACATATTGTTCCTTAACTTGAAACGTCTTCCTGTACTATTCTGGCTTTTTTCTGGATTAATATAAGGGTACATACAATTAGGTCACACTGTTTGCATTTGCTAGGAACAGTCTGGGTAGTATTAGAGTCCTTCACTCGGAGATGTGCCACATACCCCTGCGTCATGCCCATTAGGTGGGGGCTTATTGAGCCCCTTCCCCATCGCCCTTCTTGGCTTTAATTTGAAAGTGTACCAAATACCCTACTGAGGTCTCTTAGGCTGTGTTCCTCCTTCTCAAGGCCCCTTCCCATCAAGGTTAGGTATTTCTCTTGGTATTCTTATAAAAATGAGACAGCAAGTGAAGTCAATATTTGGAGGGCAGCCTCAAATCTTTCAGGAAACCTTTCATACTCTGAAATCAGGTTTTATGGACCTGAACTTAAAAGCAAAAACAAAAAAAACTGAGTGCAGAATTTCGATAACCCACAACTTATACTTAAGCATGAACCACAGAATCACAGAACATCGGTTGGAGCTGGAAAGAACTTCAGCATAAAATCACCAAACACGACCATGTCAGGGACATCGTGACATTGAAATGCCACTTGGGCTGCATTATTATAAATATCAATTTGCTGAATGGCTGTACAAAGTTAAATTTAGCATTTCTTTTTTAATCTGGTCATTGAAAAGTTAGCATTGGACTTGAATAAGGGAAACACTTAAATTACTTTTTAATATAACCTAAACCTTTTGGAGAGAAGGCATGCTCTGTGAGTGATAGCCAAATACCACTCTTTTTTTTTTTTTTGTAGAGACAGAGTTTTACTTTGTCGCCCATGGTAGAGTGCTGTGGCGTCACACAGCTCACAGCAACCTCCAACTCCTGGGCTTAGGTGATTCCCTTGCCTCAGCCTTCCCAGTAGCTGGGACTACAGATGCCCGCCACAATGCCAGGCTATTTTTTTGTTACAACTTAGCTAGAGCCGAGTTTGAACCCACTACCCTCGGTATATGGGGCCAGCATCCTGCTCACTGAGCCACAGGCACCACCTGCCAAATATCACCTTTTTAAAATTGTACTTCCTGATTGAGTATTCACTTCCATTTTACAAGGATTGGCTTAAATTATTTAAAAGATCATATGCAAATCTGTAATAATCACATAATCAGAAATGCCCCTTGCTCCAAGCTGCCAAAGTTGCTAAAATAATTTAAGTAACTAAAACTAGACAGATTTATCATCTGGGGATTTCTTAAAGGATGTGCCACTGAGGCTATTAAAATATCCAATGAATAGGTTTTCTCTGTCATTAAAGTACTTACTAATAGTCATTTTAATGTTGAAAATATTGTAATAATAATTAATTTGAACATGAGGTTTGAGTGGTGTTGTTTTAAAACACACTACACTTTAGCAGCTGCAGAAAACAGCTGGGCAGTTCCTAAATGTGAAGGCCCAGGAAATTCAAAGAACTCTTACTCCATTTCCCTTGAATACGGTGGAAATCATCCTCAAATCCACATCCAGCTGGGATCTAATTAGCCCATGCAGGAGCCACACTAAGCACTGACACTTGAGAAGGACCTGGGCAAAGTGTTTCTGTCCCCAGGGCGCTCACCATTCACAGTCAGGGTGGACTGCAGCTAAGTCCCTTTCCAAGGCTCCTCTCCATTCCTGCTTCTCCCACCTAAACTTACAAAGCCAACACTCACTGCCCCAACCCTGCTCAGCTTGCATTTAGGTTTGGCCATGTGACACAGCTCAGACGAATGAAGCAACAGAAAGTGTGGTGGAGGATTTGGGCAAAATTATTGTTTTTTTTTTTTTTTCCTTTTTTTCTTATAATAACAATGCATCCTCCTAGAACATGCATACTTAAGTCTGGGACTTTGGGAGGAATTTTCTGATGCTTTTGAATCTCAAAAACAATGCCAAAGGCCACTTCTTTTTGATTATGGCACCATGAAAAGATTTTTCTTTTTGTCACTTGCTACAGAAATACACAGTTGAGAACTAGTAACACCTTTTCTTTGTGGTTTTTAGCCTATTTGAAATAACATTTCACTAGATAGATTTCTCTCTCTCTCTCTCAAGGAAAAACAGTCTTTAAACACTGCTCACTAATGCACCTCGGCTGGGAAAATGTGTCTGAAGTTCTCTGCACAATCTTCCCAGGGACCTCTCCTCTTGCATGTGGTGGGGGATGGTCTATAGATCATCACTGTCACTTCCATCTGCCCAAAATGTTCTTTTGATTTATGGCACTGTCCTCTGACACCTGCTCATTCTTGCTTTTTCACAGAGCCTTTATAATTTTTTTTATGGCATAAATAGGAAATAGTCACTGAGTTCACAGAAAGTAATACAGTAAGAAGTCTTTTATCCCATTATGTTCAAGTGTTATAAACTATTGTCAGATACTCTTTCCAATAAAAATCTCAGCCACATGGTCAGGGCAAAATAAACACAAAGAGTTTCAGGCCGACTCATCCCTGAATCTAACTTGTTCCCCATGCTCAATCCTTACGCTGGTTTCTTATTTATCACAGAGACTTTTGATCCAAATGCAAGGCAGTATAAATGTGTACTCTTTTCTTCTCTTTCCTACACAAAAGTTAGCCTAAACAAACTGCTTTGGCTCTTGCTTTTTTTGTGCAATCATATATCTTGGAGTCTTTCTCTATCTAAGCATGGTGTCCATATGTCCATAGTGGAGGAATATTCCATTGTTTGAATGAATGTGAGCTACTTATTTAGCCAACCCTTCTTTGTTGGACAGTTGGACCACTCCCAACAAACAATGCTATATTATATAACCTCATAGGCACATCGTCTCACACAGGGGAAGGAATACATAGGATAAATACCCAGAAGTGGCCTTGTGAAGTCAGAGGGTAAATGCAGTTTCAATTCTGATCATTAGTGTCAAATTGTTCTGTACAGGAGTTACCCTAATTTATATTCCCACTAACAACATATGGATGTGCCTGGAGGGAAATTTTTAGATTTTACCAATTTACTAGGTGAAAGTGGCATCTTAATATAGTTTTCACCTGAATTTGTTTTATTACTTTATTAGAGGATTAAACATCTTTTTCATCAGTTATAGGAACCATTTATATTTATCTTTTCTGTATCTGTTTCTGTCTTTCATCAACTTTTTAAAAATTATATATATTTTTTAATTTAAAGGACTCTAGACATATTAGGTGTATTACTTCTCATTTGTAATATTAACTAAAGATCTTTTTCCCCATTTAGTCTTTTCTGTTTGTTTGTTTGTTTGTTTTGGGGTTTTTTTTTTGAAGATCAATTAATAAAAATATGGAATGCTTCACAAATTTGCATGTCATCCTTGGACAAGGGCCATGCTAATCTTCTCTGTATCATTCCAATTTTAGTATATGTGCTGCCAAAGCAAGCACTAATCTTTGTTTTTCCAGATTTTTCTGGTATGGCCTTTTTGTCACACAGATATTTTTAATTTTTACTTAATCTTTTTCTGAAATTTGAGTTATGTAAGCACCTTTCCTATTCAAATCTTATAACTTATTTATGTGTTCTTTCAGTAATTGTGTGGTTTCAATGCTTTACATTGAAATAGCTGATCCATTTAGAGTTTATACCAGTGGGCAGTCTGAGAGAGACAACTTATTTTTTTCCAGTTAGTTACCCAATTGTACCATGACCTATTAATGAGAAATGAATGTTTTTAGAGTCTTTAAATATGATCTTGAAATGGCTGGCTAAATGTAGTAGAATTTATTATTTTCTTAGTTGAATTTTATAATAATTCCCCACCAGTTTGTACACAATCCATTTACAGATGACAATAAAAAATAAGATTTTGCTCTTGAGATTCTGTCTTTGAATAAATAGTAAATAGATTGGAATAAGTGGAGAAAATCAGGTAAAGAAAATGGTAGATTATGTGGGAGAAATATCATTCTGGCTTTCTCTTATCTTCTTTTTACAGATTTAAGGCAAGTGATCAGCAAAGATTATACACAGGACTCAAAGGAAAATAACCTTTTCCCTTACAAGTGATTGAACAACCTAAAATAGAATTTGATACAATTCTGGCTCAATGACATTTCTAAACCCCACCCCTAATCTAATGAATCAAAATATCTAGAGCTGGGAGCAGGAAGTCTATTTTTATAGCGAGTTCCCAGATGATTTTAATATAGGCGGCCCTCAACAGTCAGTGAACTCATATCCGGGAACCTCTGACTTCTCGCCTGAAAAGCGAAGGGGCAGAAGCCAGGTTTAGAATCACAGAGCGAGAAGGAATGCAGAGGCACGATGGGGCCAACCCCCGATCTTCTCTCTAATTAAAGGATACAGATGTGCCCTGCCTCTCCCAGAGTCTCAGTAATCCACAAATGTCATCAGAAGCTCAAGTTCAAAGTCATCACCCCAACAATCAAGATTCCTGTCTTTCCACAACTGATTCACCTCTGACTGTAGTGTGAGTCATTTTCATTTTGTCAAATCCTACCCCAAGAAAAGAGAAAGGGATAAATAGTCCTTGAGTGTCAAAAAGTGTTCCAGGCATGTTACATACCTTCATCTTTTAACTTGGTCTTTCTGTATACTTCATACAATGAATATTATCTCACATTGAACTCTCACTTTGAAGCTTAGAGAAGTGCTACAACTGATCCAAGGATGCTCGGTGCTAGAACTAGTATTCAGGATCCATTTTGTCATATCTTTCTCTAGAGAAGAAAATGATTGGACAGAATCTCTCTCTCTATGACCCTTCAGACAAAACCTGGATTATTTGAAGACAAAGTAATGAAGCAACATTTAGTCTTTACACTTTCAATTTGCATTTAAGTAAGCATTATTGTGGACATACCCCACCTGCCCTCTGTCTGTCTCTTCACCTGCTTTGCCTTCCTCCAAGGCAGTCCTGACCGCAGATGCTCTACCCACCTGCCTCTGCTATATGCTCCAAGCTTCACTAAGGCAGGGTCTTGACTTTTCTTGTCCTCCACTATATCCCAGTGCTTGGAACACTGGCTGTGTTTGATCATTATTTGCTAAATCACTCACTGAATTAGGGTATTCTTCATTCTTACTGGTTTATTTCCTTTACAAGTCTTAGTTTGGTTTTCAGATCCTGGACAAAGAGCCAGGATTTGGGGTAAGTAGCTGTACTGGTACAACTCACTCACTGTTAATATAGTACACACCTGTCTCCTTGCTCCACTCCACTTGGGGGAAGACAAAGGTCTGCAGAAAGCAGAACCGTGAAACGCATTATCTCACCATCTAAGCCTTCTCTTCTCTGTACTAACTGGCGTCTCCCTCGTCTAATTTCCCTTTTCTGTATTATTCTTCCCTTCTACCACTGCACACAGTCTAAAACACCATCATTTACTAAACACTCCTTTGCATCAGAGAGTGTAATTTGTGCTTTGTAAGCTATCACAGTAGATCGTCCCCCAAACTCAGCGAGGTGGCATTACTGCTGTTTTTTCCACAGAGGGTTACTGAGGCGTGGAGAGATTGTCATTTGTCCACGGAAAAGCTGAGAGTCAATCCTGGATTTATACTCACTTAACACCCAAGCTTTCCCCATCACATCTTCAGTGTGTAAGAGGAATCTAATTGCCTATAATGTCTCTATGGGCATTTATGCAAGACCTGTTGCTAAATGATCTGCGTCATGATACAAAGGTAGAGGAAACTAGATTTCTTTGCTATCCTAAATTAAATGAAATATGGTTCACGCGATAACTCACTAAGGTCTGTGGCAAACATACTTTTGGTCATTTTGTGGGATATATGAGTTAGGAAATATCTACCGTTCCATGAAACTCAGACTCAAAGTGGCTTAAAGGAATAAGGGTTCTTCTAACAGGTGAGACTGGGGTTCCAAATAAAGCAGTTCTACAAAGTCATCTAATTCCAGGATCCTTCCAACTTTCTGTTCGGACATTTTTAGAGCACGACTTTCATCCACAAAATTGTTTCATGGTCCCAGATGACTCCTGAAGTTTCTCTTATGACATCTGGATTCCAGACAGGTAAGAAAGAGAAAGAAAGAAGTGACATGTCCTGTTAAAGAATTTTCCCAAAGATCCAACCTATCCAGTTCCTCCATACTCCATGTCAAGTGTGGCCGTGGAGACCTTCCCATCATTCCCAGTAACTGGCATTTGGCACCTAGTCTTTTAACAACCACGCGGCGTTCTCCACTTAGAGGTCCTGATCCTTCCAGGATGATGCACTGAGGGAAAGCAAATCACCAGGACAAAGCAAGATGACGGTCTTAGTCACCACGCCACCCACCACCAATCCCTTATTTCCGATTTTAGGGAGTCTACTTGTTTCAGTTACATTAATAGCATAACAAATCACCTCAAATTTAACAATTTAAAATACAACCACTTATTTACTCAGGATTTTTCAATTTGGGCAGAACTAGGTGGGAGGCTCATCTTCATTCTTCATGGTGTTGAGTGGGGACATTCGTGTGACTGCTTTCAGCTGGGAGAGCTTCTGGAGCAAGAAATCCCCCGACAGCCTCTCTCCCCAGGACCTGTCTCCATGTGGCCGCTTACCATCTGACAGTGCTGCCCAATCTTCTTCCGGGGTGGCCAGTGTTCCAAGAAGGAGTAAAGAAAAGCTGCAGGCCTCTTATGATCTGGGACTGAACAGGCAGCACTTCTCCCACACTCTATTGGTTAAAATAAGCCAGAAGGCCATGCAGATTCAAGGGGAGAAGAAAGATCTCCACCTCTAGAAACACTCTGTGGTCACTATAGTTCACCCTTCCTTTGAGGTTGGGCCACGCTCCCCTTCTTTAAACACCATCTTCCATATTCCACGTTCTCTCAGGAAAAGCCCATGATAATTTCCTGATGGGAAAACTTGCAAAATAAAGGTTTCCAGGCCAGAAAGTTAAAAGAGCTTCTAATACAATCCACCTGCCTCCCTCTAGGCAAGGGTGCCTGCAATTCTAGACATAGGCCTCTTGTGAAGGAGAAATAGTCCTTTTATTTTCTTTCAGAAATGGGCAAAAAGTCAAGAAGTCCATTATTTTGAATAACTTCCCCAGTTACGGTCACATTCTTTCTTTTAAATATACTATAATTAGCTTCTGATTCTCTGTTGTAATTTGATAGCATGTAGACATAGGCAAACAAAACCTAATGGTGTTGTGTGAAGTCTTATTTTGACGGTTTCAACCTCAGTGATATTCAAAATAGTCTATGACACACCTTAAAATAGCAGAAAAATAAATGAGGTGCCTCTCACTTCCTTCCCCTTCTTACTGTTTGAGAAAAATATACGAACAGTCATTAGTGCAGAAATTCAGCACAAAGTAGCTCAAGTAGAAAGGAAATGTACTGGCTTGGAAGTACTGGAATGTACTGGAAACTCAGAGATAGATTTGATTTTAAGTGTAGCTGGCTAGAGGTATTCAAATATTGACATCACAGCCCTTTGCCTCCATGTTATGGGCTACAGTTCCCAGTCAGTTGGTTTCATTCCCTCCTGCTTGAGACAGAAGACCTTCCTCTCTATAACTGAAAAGATAGTTCCCAGGAGCCCCAGGCTCATTTTCTTCAAGCTTAGCCACTCCCAGCAAATATAAGTTCTCCTCCCATCCTAATAGCAATCCCAGGAAAATCTTTGATTTTCCTACATTGGCCACATATGGATGAACTACTTTCCCAGAAAGGTGGTCTAGTGGACCAAATAGTGACCCCACCAAAGATGTCCACGTTCTAATCTCTGTAACTTGTGAATTTGTTAGTTTACATGGCAAAATTGACTTCATAGATGCGATTAAGGACTTTGAAATGGGGAAATTATCCTGTGTTATTTGAATGGACCCAATATAATCAGGAGTCGTTATAAGAGGGCTGGAGAAGTTGGAGAAGAGAAGGCGACGTGATGATGAAAGCAGAGATAATGAATGTGACTTTGAAGACAGAAGAAGGAGCCCTAAGCTGGAGACTGCAGAGAGCTTATCGAAGCTACAGAGGCCAAGGAAACAGATCCCCATAGTGTCCAGAAGGGCAACCCTGCTAATACCTGGAGTGTAGTCCAGTGAAGCTGGTTTTACACTCTGGCCTGTAGAACTGTAAAAGAATAAGTTTTTGTTTTCTTAAGCCACCACATTTGTGGGGATTTGTTATAGCAGGATAGAAACTTATCAAGAGGGTTTCTTGACTTGGCTCAGTTTATTTTACCTTTAAGCTTTGATCTATATAGTCAAGGAAGCAGGTAGGAGTTTGCCAGGGATGGTGGGAGGGGAGCACATGGGATGGTATAGCCAAGACCACATAAATTTAGGCCACATAAAATTCCTCCAA